GCTAGCCAGGGGAAATTCTGTTTCGTGTTTTCCCTGTCTGTTCACCTTGTGGTCTACAAGCATATTCCAGTTCATTTGTGACATTGAATTCACCTCGGCTGCTTGCAGGTGGCATTCACATGCGTTGTTTCGGGTCGCCTGAATTAAACTTTTTTTTTTTCTTCTGCAGCTGCAGAGGTTTTCAGGGAGCTGACTTGTGAAGTGTCAAGCAGAAGGCTTTGGCTCCCTTTCCCCCCCTTTCGTAGCTGTGCACAGGCGTGGAGGGCTTGCACTGCTTGCGACATGATGTTCAGCAGGCTGTCTTTTGCTTGAGTCTATGCGCAGTTGGTAGGACTGTTAAAATTCTTTCTGAACCATGTAAAGCTCCTCTTTAAATGCAGCTGGCCTTGTAAGGCCTTAGATCTGGTGTCTCTCTCATTTAGTTTTACATATGTTGTTTTTAACAGTGACTTTGTGTGAAACTCTTTTCAAGTCCTGTCTGATGGCTTTTTCCAGCGGCGCTTGGGGTATAGCAGCTGTTAGAGCCTCCTGAAGACTGGTGATTTCCTTCTGTCGCACCATTCTGTGAGGTTCTTTGCATCCGTTCTGTGCTTTCTCTCGTTGAGCAGGTGTCAGTTCTCTGCAGAATTCTGTGACTTGCAGTTTCAGCTCATTTACCTCCTGTCTGAGGCCCTTGAGGGTGTGGGCCGAGGAGAGGATGATGCTGGTCAGGTGTTCACTTATGTCGCAGTCTCGCTGTTCCTTTCTTTGCCATTGCAGGTCGTTGGCTGCTTGGAGCTGAAGGATGTCCATTACAGTGCTCTGCTAAGTGTCCATGTGGTCCTGGTGAGCTGGCAGGGCTGGATTTCTGTGGAATGTTTGCGACATACTGGCACACTTGTGGGAACACCAGAGAGAGAAAGGGGCAAGATAAATGCAAGTACGTCCAGAGGTGTTAAACTATCTCTATGGGGAACGGCTGTGTAGGCCATGTAAGGTATGAATCGCTGGTGAGAGGCAGCTAGTGAGGTAGGGTGCTATGTTTTTGTGTTCATGAACACAAAGGGAAAGTTTGAGTAACTTTGTTGAGGGGGCCGTAAGCAGGGGTCAGCTGATGACCGGGCTATACATGTAGTCAAACTATTACTTAAAGCACTGATGGTTCACGGGTTTGGTCACTATGACGAAACTGACATAAAATAAGATGAACTCACAAAAAAGAAAAAAAGGAAGATTTTACCTATTTTAGTTATGAGATATGAGATATGGCTAAGCAGGTGTCACTTGTGGGTGATGCTGCAATAGACTTCATAAACCTAGGGTTAGACTGTTAGTTAAACTAGCAGGGACCCACCAAATGCCTCATCAAAAGAAAAAGAAAAAGTGGGAATTGTTCCTAGTTCTATCTTGACCTACATTGTGTTGAACAGTAGCTGCCCTTCAATGTATTAGGTCTGGCACTGAGGAGTGAGGAGAAAGTAGAGAGGGAACAGGGATTAGGCTACTAATAACCTGTATAACTCATTAAGGAAACAACAGTTGCTAGAACTACTGTAATCCTATACAAAACGCGAAGATGGTGATGGTAAAATAACTAAAATAAGGTAAAAGTAGAACAAAACAAACAAAAGGGGTCCTAATAGCTGTAAGAGATTAAAAAGGGAAAGTTAAAAAAAAATAAAAATAATAATAATAGAATAAAATAAAATAAAAATTGATTTAATTAATTAAATCTCAAATTTAATAAAAATCAATTTAGCTGTGTTGGTACATTTGTGCCAAACAAATGTAAATAAATGCAATAAAATTAAAGAGAGGTAGAATACATTGAACGTGCGTGCAGCATGCCGCTCGAGTCAAGAACCGGTTGCATCGGTTTTCGGATCACCAGTATACTGAACTTAGAACCGTTTCTTTCAGACATGTCCGATTTGAGAACCGATGAGCTGATGATACTGCGCATGCGTGATTCAGTGTGAAACTACAGAACAGATTGCCTACTATGACTGACACAGCACGTCTGAACCGAACTGGTTCTTTTGGACAACTGATTCTGTGCTAATGTTATGAGCGCGGGTAAACCGAAGGCTTGAATGAAGGGCAATCCGGCGAAACGTAAGTTTACTTAATTACAAATAAACCGTAATGGATTATACATAGTAAGTGGAGCATAGTTTCTGCGCTGATGAAGACTAATTTATTGACGTCATAACTGTAAAACATCCTAGTTTGCAGATCACTGCCTGTATATGTGTTGATGCTTTAGATACAAAAATCCAAATTGTAAGAAACGTATCAGATTATAATGATGTTTTAATTGACTGATGTTATGATTACTGACTTTATAATTGAATGTGTTAAGCCCGCGATAGACTTAACGCCATTACGTCATCGCCAATGACGTCATTACATCAAGTGTAAAAGAACTGGTGAACCGTTTTTTTCAACCGGTTTATTGAATCGAACTGTCCGAAAGAACCGGTTTGAAGGAAAAGAACCGAACTTCCCATTACTACTTCACAGAAAGCTGTCAAAATAAAAGCCTTATCAGCTAGTAAAGAATGTTTACAAAAAAGTATGTTTACAAAATATTTCCAAATGATGTGAGACGGTTATGAGAAGCAGGGGGATACCTCCAGTTTTTATAATATAAATGATGTGTGTGTGTGTGTACAAGATTCTGCAGTTGAAATAATTTAGGAAAATTTTGCTACACAAGCTGTTTTGGTAGCAACTTCTGCAACAACTCCATAACAAAAAAAGAACATACAGGTTTTGACAAAAAAACAAAAAACAGTTTAAAAAAATTGTAAATGTTAACTTTTTTATATACGTATATATATCAAGCCCGCCGGCCGCGGCTCTCTCCAGCCTGCCGGCCGCTCCAAAGTCAAGCTCGTGGGCCGCCGCTCACTCATGCCCGCCGGAATCTCTGCTGTCAAGCCTGCTGGCCACTCCGAAGTTAAGCCCGCCGACCACGCCTTTCACCCCGAACCTAGAGGAGAATCTAAGGAGGAGAATTGCAGTCGGCTCCAGCCCCAGAGCTCACTCCAGTGTCGGCTCCAGCCCCACAGCTCGGTCCAGTGTCGGCTCCAGCCCCTGAGTTTGCTCCAGTGCCAGCTTCCCAGTCCCTGAATCCAGCCCAGAGTGGGCTCCTGTTCCCGAGTTTAGCCCACGGAGGGCTCCAGGCCCCGAGTTTAGCCCAGAGAGGGTTCCAGTCCCGCCGGAATCTCTGCTGTCAAGCCTGCTGGCCACTCCGAAGTTAAGCCCGCCGACCACGCCTTTCACCCCGAACCTAGAGGAGAATCTAAGGAGGAGAATTGCAGTCGGCTCCAGCCCCAGAGCTCACTCCAGTGTCGGCTCCAGCCCCACAGCTCGGTCCAGTGTCGGCTCCAGCCCCTGAGTTTGCTCCAGTGCCAGCTTCCCAGTCCCTGAATCCAGCCCAGAGTGGGCTCCTGTTCCCGAGTTTAGCCCACGGAGGGCTCCAGGCCCCGAGTTTAGCCCAGAGAGGGTTCCAGTCCCCGTGTCTAGCACAGAAAGGGCTCCAGTTCCCATCTCCAGCCCAAGGAGGGCTCCAGTCCCCAAGTCAAGCCCAGTGAGGGCCACAGTTCGTTAGAGTTAGGCCTACTGAGGGCCTCTAAAGACAATATTCTCTCCAAGGATTTGGGGGGAGGGGTAGTATGGGTCCATCTGTAGTGTAGTGACCATCCAGCCATGGCCTCCTGAGATCCCTACTCCGCCATGGCCTTCTGAACTGTCTGCTCCGCCATGGCCTCCTGAACTGGCTGCTCTGCTATGGCCTCCTGAACTGTCTGCTCCGCCATGGCTTCCTAGTCTGCCTGCTCCACAATGGCGCCCCAAGCTCCCTGCTCCGTCATGGCCCCTGAGCTCCCTGTGCCGTCATGGCACCCTGGACTGCCTGATCCGCCCTGGAGGTATTCCCCAAGTCCCAGTCCTGCACCAGCCTCCAGGGCGCCCCCCCCCCCCCCCCGTTTCTGAGTTTCCCTTGTCTGGAATTGAACGTCAATCCCCATGTCCTACGTGTGATTCCTGTGCTGTCAATGTTAATAAAGACTGTGTATCCTGATTCTCCAGCATTCTCCTTGTTCCTTGTTCCTCGCTCCTCACCGTAGGCGCACCGTGACAATATAAGAATACGATTTATAACATATAAGAATATATATAAGATTTTAAGTGTTTTATATATAGAACTTGCTACCAAAACAGCATGTGTATTAAAATTTTCATAAATCATTTCAACTGTAGAATATTTTGTGTGTGTGTGTGCGTGTGTGTGTTTGTGTATATATATATATATATATATATTTAACGCATACCGAGATTGATTAAATGGTAAAAGTATACAAATATACGCCAAAATTAATCAGGCAAGCCTTTTTACTAAATAAATCTACACAAGTTGTGCTTAATGTCATCTAATGATGTGTATTGAGATATTTAATATGACAATAAATGTAGCCTAATTTGGTTATGACGGTTAGATTTCTTTTTTAACAATCATGATATATTGTAACTGTCGTGTCTTGCTCACTTTTCTCTGAACAACTGCGCATAAATCATAACTGGGACTAATGAAATTTAATAATAACGGCAATTGCATTTAACAGTAGGCTAAAGGTTCATATTTGAATATGTTCTTTTCATTTATGAAGAATTATAAGCATGTTTATGATGTGATTTAGCCTATGCACATTTGTCCGAAAGCCTATTCCGCGAAGTGGTGAGAACGTAATTATTACTAAAACGATTATTTATTTTTTATAATTATTATTTTATTTCAGTTAGTTTTTCAATAACTGTTGTTAGTTTCGTTTCGTTTTAGTTTTTGAATTATTTTGCCATTTTTATTTTATTTCAGTTTACGAAATAGTTTTTTCATCAATCATTTTTGTTTTAGTTTTCGTTTATGAAAATAACCTTGAACTCCATCATAAGAAAGAGACTGGGCAAAAATGGTCTGCATGGCAGAGTTCCAAGACGAAAACCACTGCTGAGCAAAAAGAACATAAAGCCTTGCCTCAGTTTTGCCAGAAAACATTTTGATGATCCCCAAGACCTTTTGGAAAATACTCTGTTGACTGACGAGACAAAAGTTTAACTTTTTGGAAGGTGTGTGTCCCATTACGTCTGGCGTAAAAGTAACACTGCATTTCAGAAAAAGAACATCATACCAACAGTAAAATATTGTGGTGGTAGTGTGATGGTCTGGGGCTGTTTTGCTGCTTCAGGACCTGGAAGACTTGCTGTGATAAATGGAACCATGAATTCTGCTGTTTACCAAAAAATCCTGAAGGAGAATGTCCGGCCATCTGTTCGTGACCTCAAGCTGAAGCGAACTTGGGTTCTGCAGCAGGACAATGATCCAAAAAAAACCCGCAAGTCCACCTCTGAATGGCTGAAGAAAACCAAAATGAAGACTTTGGAGTGGCCTAGTCAAAGTCCTGACCTGAATCCTATTGAGATGCTGTGGCATGACCTTAAAAAGGCAGTTCATGCTCAAAAACCCTCCAATGTGGCTGAATTACAACAATTCTGCATAGATGATTGTTGCTGCTAAGGGTGGCCCAACCAGTTATTAGGTTTAGGGGGCAAACACTTTTCCACACAGGGCCATGTAGTTTTGGATTTTGTTTTCCCTTAATAATAAAAACCTTCATTTAAAAACTGCATGTTGTGTTATCTTTTACTAATATTTAAATTTGTTTTGATGATCTGAAACATTAAAGTGTGACAAACATGCAATTTATATATATATCACAGCTGTCACTGTTCTAGACTGCTTGTGCTGCCTCTGGATATATAGTCCAATCAGCATCAAGTCACGTTCTGTGGAGTACCGTCGTGATTTGTTAGCAGCCATATCACCCTGCAGCCCAAGACTGGTTGCCCATTGAAGCTAAGCAGGGTTGAGCCTGGTCAGTACCTGGATGGGAGACCTCCTGGGAAAACTAGGTCGCTGCTGGAAGAGGTGTTAGTGAGGCCAGCAGGGGGTGCTCAGGGTCTAAAGCTCCAGTGTAGTGACGGGGACACTATACAGAAAAAAAGCACCGTCTTTCGGATGAGACGTTAAACCGAGGTCCTGATTCTCTGTGGTCATTAAAAATCCCAGGATGTCCCTCGAAAAAGAGTAGGGGTGTAACCCCGGCATCCTGGCCAAATTCACCCATTGGCCTCTGACCATCATGGCCTCCTAACCATCCCTGTATCTGCTGATTGCAATGAGCTGGTGTGTGGTGGGCATATGGCTGCCGTCGCATCATCCAGGTGGATGCTGCACACTGGTG